TTTTTTGTTTAATTTGCTTCAGCGCTTCTTGAAACTTATTTTTGTGTTTGAAAATTTGCCCAAAACAGTATAAGCCATCACTCTAAACTGACTGATGGCCTGGCATGTTGTCCAGTGTGTCTCCCACCTTCACCCATTGACCCCTGGGATTGTCTCCCTCACTCCCTCACCCCCCAGAAATAAAGAAAATGAATGGAAAAGCCATTATATGCTGTATAACTGTTGGGTTAAGAACACTTGGAGAGAGGGGTAGTGTTGCCCTCTACTGCCCACAGCCAACCCTTACTCTCTCAACACTTTCTCTCCACTCATAGAAAACAGCTGATACTGCAGAATGCTGCGACTGCTTTCTACACACCTTGCTTACAAAAACACAAAACACAGATCTTATATTCAGTCATTGGCTGTCCCACAGTGTTAACCCATATGTGATATGTGGAACTGCAGTATTCAAAACTGATCTGATTATTTACTCAAGAAGATTGGGCTTATACTGTAACAACAAGATGGTAATCTTATTTAAAAAAGGGTTGATGATAAATGATGGATCAGAAAGAGAATATTAACTTCACCCATGCTTCTTTTTATAAACAGTTCCTTCAAAAGTTCATTCAAGTCTTTTGCAGATGTTCTCACCAAATACAGTCTGTAACTATAAGCCTACATATACAGTATACAGTATATCCTATCTTATCAGCACATTGTTGACATGTTCTACATTTAGAATGTCACTCATTTCGTTCATTCATTGATACATTCAGATCATACAAGAGGCAAAGCATGCAGTTCAGTGGTTAAAGGATTTAGCCTAATGGAGGACAACCAGTTTGAATTCAGTAATGTGAAGCAAGCATTAAAAACTCCCACGCTCAGTGGGCCCAGTAATACAGTCCAGTACATCTGCTACACAGAGGTGTTAAATGCAGATGTGCTGTGTGTGTATTTTTGTGTGTTTACCAGAAACCAGCAGAAACGGCCTTTAAAGTCGGCCATTCAACAAGTCACTGAAGGAACGCTTTGGTGTTCGTAGTAAAAATAGTCATGATAATAAACAGAAAAGACGCAACATCTTGACAAAACAATAGAGCCTGGATGTAAATGTTTAATGGCTGTTCATACGTGATGACTGTGTCTGTGTGTTTTGTGGGTGTGGATGGGAAAACAAATCAGCACTGTCGCTCTTCATTTGGGCTACTCTCCGGTGCAGGTAAAAGGTGCAGTGGCTAAATAGCTGGAGGAGACATTTGAATGTCTTAGTAGATGTAACTGCTCCATCTCTAAATGTGTTGAGACGAAGGCATAAAGAATGGCATCATTAAGGTAATGTGCTCAAGGAGCCAATGAGTTGTGCTCTAACCTCTGCTGCTCAGCCTGAGAATTTGGTAAGTGCACAATCTAAGGTCACCTTAATCAGAGGGAGACGACGCTAACAACACGCACGCACATCCACAGCCTCAATTACATGCTGGAATTGCTCTCAAACCGGTCGTGCCGCACAGCCGGCGTGCCTGGTTATGTGTTCCTGTGACATTTCTTTGTCTATTATGTGCATTGCATTTGTACAGTTAGTTTGTGAGCTGGGCGTGCACAGTCATTAACAAAAAAACAGTGTTTCAACCATACTGAAGCACTGCTGCCGTCATGATGACCTGCACCATATGTTGTGGTTTAACTGTTTGGACGTCAGTGGCAGCACACAGGGAAGGGCTGGTTGTCTGCTGAGGCTGTGTGGTTTTATATACTTTATTAGCCTATTACTTCATTAGCCTATAGCTGTTCCTCTTTAGAATAAAAGCTCTGTTTGGTTCAATAGTGGTGGAGTACAGAAATTGTGAAGTTGATTTTTATGTTGCCTTGTGTGATTGGTGCCTACATGGTCCCATCACACGGACTGTTAGAACAGTCAATGTTGGGAAATGTCACCAATGTTGTGACAATGACACATTTTTGGGCTCCTATTGGACGATCCAACTGTCAGTCACCTCTCATTTCTATTTTCCTAAACGCTCCCATTATATTCCTTTTACCTGCTGTGAGAAGAAAAAAAAACAATCTTTTTTAAAATACATTCGTCTTTAAAAGTGTCCCCTCACAGGATATTGAGGTGGTCAGTACTGACCAAAGGTTCTTATGTTTTCTGCTTCTCCAATGTTATTGTTATTTTTATTTGACTAAAGAGTTTTTGGTGATAAATCTCAGCCTCGGCTTTCACCTCTGGTTGACCGAGTTTTGTGGGGAGCGTAGTTCGTGGTGTTGTCTTTAATAAGTCCAGAGAAGTGGTAGAGTAAGCAGGACATCAGTCATTCTGTCAGGACCTGGTCCTCTGATTACCCTCACTGTTTCATTAGAGATATTTACTCTGCAACACAAAACCATTTATTCAAAATAATGACTCATTATTGTTGACCAAACTTGCTTTTTTCCCCCCCTGCCAACTTCATTAAACGTAATTAGAAGCTTAAAGTGACACTCGTTCATAATTGTTGTTCATACATAAATAAATAGAATCCCTTATTTGTCTCAACATTTACTGTGTGAGTTGTCTTCTGGTCTAATGTCTGTACAGATGTTTGCTTCATTTGTTATGTTAGAATGATTCAAATAGCTTCACAGCAACTTATCTTTCCAACATCTTTAAGGTGCACCTTGTAAGATTTTGCACCACCTAGTGGTGAACTGACCTGTTTAATTTTGGTCAGAGACCATGTATGAGGACCAGAAGCAAATGTTTTTTTCATTGCAGACTGTGGTCGTTGACTTAAGCCCAGTAAAAAAGAAGACATACTCTCTCAGTCTCAGACATGTCCATGTGTGTGGGACAGTGTTGGCTAATGAAGGTTAACTTTGCGAATGAAGCTGTTGAGTTCCTTCAGCGATCACTGAAATCTCATCCGTCCCTCCTGTGGTGTCTATAAGATCTTTTCCCTTTCAGGTACAGCATTCCACGTGGTCCATCACAGCCCACGCAGCTGTACCTGAACCTGAACAGTGGCACTTACACGTTTACCTATGGGCCACAGTTACACACCTCAGAATGGATCTTTATTTACAACACACAAGTCGGAAACAGCTGGTCAATCCATTTAGCCTAAGGCCACTGATTTGTCCGCATTTACTACAACAGCAAAGAAAAGCCAGGGTATTTTTTCCCCTCTCTCCTTCCTATTGATCCGGCGCTTAGAAAATCTGCCCTGCTGTCTAAACACTATTGATCCTTCCCTCTCAACGACAGGCTCTTGCACCAGTGTATAAAGGGACTGAATGAATTGAAATTTCATTTCCGACAAGTTGTTCCTGTTATTTTTACCCTTCTTTCAATAGTGGAGAACATGCACTGGCTGACTGCCACTCAGAGAGTCGATCAGCGCGTAGCTCAGGGGGGAGATGAGGGAGAGGAGGGGGTTAGAGGTGAGACTGCTTAGATTACTCTAAGCAGTTGTTGACTCTGGGAGACTATACACGGGTCCAACTCTCTTACTTTGATTCCACTGGAAACTACTGTGTTTACAGCACATTGACTGGCCTGAAATAAACGTTAGAATCCAACAGTTTTGGACTGATCCAGGTGTCAGAACCACAGTGATATACACAGCACATTTGGGCCAAGTGTTTCTCTGGGGCTAAATGTTGGAGCTGGGTTTTACCATACCAATTAGATGTAAAATATTGTCCTACACATCTGCGGTGATTTGGATTAGGATGAGTAAAATTTGAGAAACTGTTACTTTGTTTGAAATGAGCTTTGATCACTGTGCTGACAGTAATTATTGTTTTCCAAGTTTTGACATTCATTGGCAATATGATTGGTCTGTGCAGTTAGCTTTAGGATTTCTAACAATTTAGCCAAATGAGCTAAATGTTATATTTATAAAACAGATATGGAAATTATTAACAAGGAGCTTTAGATGTAGTCTGTTTTCCCCCAAATTTCCTCAAATATTTTGTCTTGTCAAAATGATTTAAACTCCACTAGAACAATTAAATGTCATTCAAATTAGATTGTGGCTCCACACAACTTTTAAAGCATTGTTCATAATGGGTTGTAGAAAACACACACTGCAGCATATAAAAATTCAACATCATCCAACAAAAACACATTCCTACCACATTATGGAGGTCAGAACCATAACACTCAGGGCCTTGTGATGAGTCTCTCAGCGCCTCGTGCAGCTTAAAGACGTCAGCAGCGGCTTCGCCTCATCTTGGTCTCCACCTTGTCTAAGTGTAACCATTACAACAAGATGGAGTGTGACATAAAAAAGGGAGGTTCTGTTTTAATTAACATCCATACTCATGTAATGATCGTAAAGCCAAGCAACATTCCATTTCAAGCCCTTAGTGTTAATGCATATTTTAATACACCACCATTACCACCATCATAACCTTGATTATGATCACTATAATTAGTAGATTTATGGCACAATTACAGTTTGGTTCCTTGGTGGCATGCATTTTGCTGTGAATCTAATAATTCCGTGTGAATATGAGCTCCCAGGTCTTTTCTCTCCAAAAAAAAAAAAAAACAAAAAAACAAAAACTGATGGAGACAAACACACAAACAGCAGTGTGTCTGCTGCTGTGCCTGTAGAACACTCCATCTGAATTGCACATCCGCCCTGCCACCAAGCCTGTCATAAGCTGTATTAAGAAGAATGCTCACACAGTTTGACATAAATTGGAAAATGACATTTAGAAAATGGGCTCTGCTGTGGAAATTAAAGATATTAAAATTATAAATCAGTGTCTGGGAGTGAAAGGGGGTGTGATGGCTTCCCTCCCTCTCCCTCTTTCTCTCTCCCCCTCTCTGTCTCCCTCATTTTCCTCTGTCCTCACTCTCTGCTGGGACAGTCAAAGCCTAGAAGTCGATGCGGTAAAAGTGGTGTTCAGTGCATTGTGCTCCACGGGGACTTTGGCACTTAATTTTTCTGGTTGTAAAAGTGGAAGTAATGTCCATGTGTATTCATGTGTGATGTGTTTGTCTTTTTGTGGCCCTCCTGCAGCGATATCCTGTCAGACGACTGCTTGGTTCTGACGCTGTGACCTGCTAATGGATCGTCTGTGAGGTGTGACATGTATTATGCAAAAACACAGTGTGGTGACACATTTACAAACAGACAACTACAGCTCTCTTTTTGCTTCACACCTGTCTTTTTGTCTTTTTTTATTCTTGTATAGTGAATATTTTTTGAAGAAATCTCTGAGCCAAAGATGAAGATAAATGAACCAAAGATGGTGGTAAAGAATAACTGGAAAGAAAGAAGGTCAGTGGTTGTTGACCACAGGTCCACACACACACATCCTTTCTTTTCTTTGAAACAACTAAAGGTTTTCTACTCCATATAAGTGCTCATGCGTGGTTTCAATTCAATCTGACCTTTCATTGATCTGAAAGAAAAAAATCAAGTGAATACCAAGAAGGCCACAGGCCTGCAGCTCTGCACCCGCTGACCACCTCAGTATAAGGAGCACCGTAGCTTTGCCACAAACATTACCTTAAAGGTTTAGGTCAGAACTTTCATCCTTGCTGTTGGGAGGAAACATTGTGTCCTCAGAACTGAATGTTATGTTTACATTTAACTTTTACTGTAGGAAGAGTTTGAAAAGAAGTTGGTTTGTCGGTTGAAGAACTCTTCATGTTCTCTGAGTTCTACTCGCTTTACTTGGCAACACAGACACGTGCTAGTTCTCAGCTGAATGATGAATTTCCAATTTTTTGAAAGCAAATACAGAGAGTCCTCGGTTTAGGACGTCCTCGATTCAAAGTGTTTAGGTCGCCATCTCCCATTTAGTAAATGTATTAAGAAAGTCTTGATCCATCATTCCGATGTACGGCGTTAGAACTTCTCAACTAGTTTGCATAGGAACTACATGGAGTAGAGTGGACATATACGTTGTTATGCGGCACTCTACGTCTAAGACATCTTTGTTTACATTCACCAGTTGTACACCATACATTGATTTGTACTGCATTCACTTTCTTTGGTTTGTGTTGTTTTTGTTGGGGAACTTTACGTCCTTCATTATGGCTCCTACGCATTAGTCAGACTCTTCTGATGTTTTTATGTCGTACGTTATGATGTGAACACTGTGTTGGCGTAGGTGAGGGACATTAAGGAACAGAAGTCGAGGAGCTCCTAGTTTTGAATTTGTGAACTAGTTTTCTCACTTAGTTTTACCTTTGTATATAGATGTGGTTTAATGTTGCTGCAGTAACTAACAGAAGAACTTTTCAAAGAATTTTAACATTGATAGAAGTGTGTGATTACAGTCATTTTAATACCTTATACAGCGCATGTTTAAGGACAGAGTGAATGAATGCAGTGTGTTGTAGTTCCAGCTCGAATCAAACATGGATAAATGTAATTAACGATTTTTTTTTGCCTTTCAAAGTGTGACATTAAAAAAATCATTGAGGTCAACATGATGAGCCTTCTAATGAGACACCATCGTGTGTTATTGTGTAGAATAAGAGGGTTAACTGGTGACTAGTACAAGTACAAGTGTACTTCATAGGAATAAAAGCAGCACCAACCCATATTCTTTGCAGGATTGTTGTTTGTATGAATCCATTCAGTTTATTTTTATTTTATTTCTCTTTAAAACATCAGCTCCTAACCAGATGAGGAGACCCCCACATTCCCACACGTGTTTCCTCCAGACATTCAGACCAACACTTCACCGTTCTTAGGAACAGAGAGCACCCTCACAGTTTTGTTTTAGACTGCATTCACAATAAGAACTAATGAGGTTTTTTTTGTTTTGTTTTGTTTTTTTAAATCAGTGCTCATAGAACCCTCCACAACAGCACGGTCTTCAAAATCCTCCAATCTCTTTGAATTTCCCTGGCCCTCTCTGTTGTGATATTGAAAAAAATGAAAAGGTGTCCTTGAAGGGGTCAGCTAACAAGAAAAGACACTTGGTTATGTTCAGGTTTTAGATGTCTCCCACTGTAGTCAAGAGGAGGGAGAATGTAAGCGGGGGTCAGCGTCCCTGGCCAAAGCACTCAAGATGACAAGAAAAAACCTTGTCAGACTTTAGGAAACTGTAACAAATACATTTCTGTAAAGGCTTTGTCCTCCGTGTTGCAGTAATGATTCCACTTTTTTTTTTAGTTTTTTGCTTCAACTCGGTGGTTTATAAGTGCTGCCTTTGTGTGCTTGGCTTCACCAAAGATTCACGAAACACTGCAGCTGAAGGACAAGATACAGCCCTGAGAATTGTCCACAGGAATACAGAGCCACACACTCAGAGACACACGTGTGCAGCTGTCGCCTTGATAATTCGAAGACGGGTTAGTCCAAAGAAATGTTTAATAATTTGTCACCACGACCAGGCTGACCTTCATGAATACATCATCTCTAAGTGGATTAAGTGTCTTAAATTTCTTAATTTTTTTTAAAGTTAGCAAGTTTTTCTAAAAACTATGAAATAGTAATTGTAACTTTTTAGTTGTGTAAGTATAAAAGTTTTATAAAGAACATGACCTCAGTCAGCCCTGTTCTTTGAGAGCAGACCAGTGCTTTTGTTATAATATGACAGGAAAAGGAAAAGTGCACAGCCGACAGCAAACAGTGAGTACACTTTATATTTACTCATCTACTTTATCTGTTGAAATAGTGATTGAAGACATGTAGCTCCGACAGTATATGGCAGTGTTTCCCAAACTTTTTTTCTGGGACCCATATTTTTAAGGTCCCAAACCTTCACGACCCAAGTCAATAGACATTATTCATAGATCACAAAATAAAGGTGTACTTGACCATTATTGAACATTAATGAGGATATTTTATTGTTGACCGAAAGATATCTGAACAATTAGTATTCCGCAAGTTTTAATCAATGAAAAACGGGTTAGGGTTAGGTAATTCAACCAGCAAAAAAGGTACCCATAGGTAGCCTATTTGGACATTAAATGTAGCCCATTTCTTTTTCTTTTCAACATAGGCTATAAATAAGTATACACTATTTAAAAGTTATTTTGAAGTTGGATGCAGACAGCTGTTATGATGACCGTGAACCACTGGGAATCTTTTCAGTCAGACAAAGTGTTGGTGTGTGAAGTCGAAGTAATAACTAAATCTGTTTTGAGTGTGTATGCAACAGTTTCTACTTGTGATTTTTTTAAATTAGTTCAGGGTTTTTAATTTTTGGAAGTGTTGGGAATATGTTACCACTTATACTGGATCCACAGGGTGTGAGTGTGTGTTCGATGTGTAACAGTAGGCCAATGCTGAGGACTGAGATGGTGTGTTTTCACAGCACAGTTAGTCTTGCTGTGCTATGGGATGGCAATAAACCACGGCCTTCAAAGCACAACCAAGCGCCACTTACCGCTGAGTGCTTCTCTGGTGGTTTGACGAGAACACTCTCAAAACAAAGTGCAGACAGGTTGATTAATAGAAGGGCCTGCAGAGGTGCGTGCTGCAGTATATTTTCACACCCAGCGAAAAAGTGCTCATTTTATTTTCATGGACATTTATGTGCTGATCCTGTCACTGAGTGAGTTTGTCACTTCATAAAAATTGTTGCTCTCTTTGAGTGTCTTTCAGTGAAAACTTATCAAATCTGTTGCACAAGTGTTGTTTTAATGTCAGGGGAGCAAACTGTGACAGCAGAGGGCAACAAAGTTCAGTCACCATAAAAAGGCCATTACTGACTTTACTTTACAGTGTATACACCAAGTATAACTGTACAAAGTTGGGATAAACCAATACCTTTCCCAGTATCAGTATCAGGCTTAATACTTCATTCAGAACCGTGTACATTCACTCGTACTTGAGCGCAGAAGTGTTGATCGCTCGACTCGATACTCTCTGACGTCTTTTCACCACAACCAGCTTGTGCATTTTCCTTCTTCAGTTCAGTGTCTGATTGTCCTCAAGGTTTTATTTTGGTAGGTCAACAATGTCAGTAGTTCAGGGGTATTTTCACATTAGGGGCAAAGACAGGCCCAAGACTTACTGTAAAGTTTGTTCTGTTATAGTACTTAATTTAACACATGAAGACTCAGTGTAGCATATATCGCTAAGTCACTGCTGTTTTGACAGTTATTCAACCAAAAGTGTCTATTTTTTTTTGTTTATTGAAACAAACACAAAGTGCTTCTAATTTTAATTTGCACTATGTTTACTAGACAGCTGGCCATTGGGTGTAAAAGCTCTGCTCACTTTCTGTTCAGCTGGCTGTGTAGAAAGTGTTCATTGATTTATATTTCTTGTATTTATTTTGTCCTTGAGACAAAATCACAACCCTAGTACAGAATAATGATGATGAACACATAGATGTTCCTAAATGGTTACGTTATTGTTGAAATGTTTGGCTAAAACAATCTGCATCCATCCAAGTTGAGTCTTTAAAGGCAAGGATGGGCACTGAAGACGATGGTTTTTACAAGTGTATAACCATGTAATAATAATGTTTTGCACCGCAATGGTTTGTCTGTGAGATGTCGAAAGTGCAAGTGTTTTGCATCTTTTGTGACCTGTATTTTTGTAGGTCGTTACACTGACAGGTCCATTCTTTATCACTGGTGTTCAGGATTTCTTCTCTTCCCTCTCTGCCTGTGCCCTAATAAACCTTTTATTTACCTTAAAAAACAACAACAAAAAAAACTGCATTCTTGCTGTTTTTTTGATGATTATTGTTTATGAACTGCTGACACTAACATCCATCAACCGAGTCATTTTGGATTTCAAAGCCAGGCTCCATAAAATAGATGGGGAAAAAATACATTTGCAGAGCACTTGGTGAGAAAAAGGTGTCGAATGAAAAATTTGGCTTTTTATTTGCGATTAAGGCAGTAAAGCTTGAAACGTAGACAGTGTTTTTAGTCGTGTCATGTAAGAGACCTCTGCAGCAACAAATGGTGGGGAAGAAAGTAGATGATAAGAAAATAACAGTGCCTTAATGAAATTTCTACATCAGCACTGTTCTTTAGGTTCGTTCTATGAGGGAGAAAGAGGTAGGGTCACTTCTCATCATCATCATCGTCTGGTCACCTTTTTACACTCTGTGGTCACAGGATTCTAATTAACTTTCAGCACCGTATCAGACAGCAATCAGTAGAACCACTGAGGAAATTAGTTTTTTTTTTTTTCTTTGGCATTCAAAAGATCGGCATTACAATGCATATTAGCCTTGTGTTTTAATTAACATTTTCTGCCTGGAAAGCATGTTAACAGTATCCCATAATGAGCTTTGTTTAAAAACAAGCCACACAGAGGACAAAGGGTAACTTCTCTCCGGATTTGCTGATGTGCTGCTCTTTATTCTAATGCAGTAAGATGAGTAATCATTGTTTAAGACCTAATTCAATACTGCCTGCACATATCACACATCACTATGAATTTCCCCTGAGGGGAATTAATAAAAAAAAACATCCTATGTTAACTTAGGCCCCACCTCGGTTCTCATATAATAGGACATTAGCAGTGATGGAGTGAGGCCATTGGCTGGGGAATA